CATACATACATACATACATACATATATATATATATATATATACATATATATATATATATATATATATATACATATACATATATATATATATATATATATATATATATATATATATAATATATATATATATATATATATATATATATATATATATATATATATATACATATACATATATATATATATATATATATATATATATATATATATATATATATATATATATATATATATATATATATATATATATATATATATATATATATATATATATATATATATATATATATATATATATATATATATATTAGGCATAAGTATACAAATTATGGGCCCATTTCTAAAAAGGACTAAAATTTCATATATATGTTCATATATAACATAGACGCATGTTTATTAACAACATCTAAATTGTATTGATTTTGATTTTGAAGGGTAACTACTTAGAAGTAACTTGAGGCACGGATGTGTTTAATATCCAGTGGCTGAACTACTGGACGCAGGACCCTGCGTTGCGGGGGGGCCTACCAGCTATAGGGAGCCCTCATATAAAAAAAGTTATATTCTCAATAATATTTTTACTATAAAACTCTTTTCCGCAAAAAAAACATTCTTTTGCGGGGGGGCCCAAATTTTGAAGTTCCGCCACTGTTAATATCCATGATAAAAAAACAGCTTTAACAATTATAAAAGCATCTCAGTTTGAAAAGATACCAGAGAATATCCTTGCAATATTTTGATCTGTCAAATTTTCAGAAATAAGCTGAACATTCCTCATCTACTGCCAGCAAGTAAATATAAGAATGAAGGAAGTTTTTAAAAAAGTTGTTTAGACTTTTTTTCTGTGATTGAGTGAAGGCTGCCCCATAATTGTACTAAAGAAACAATGCGACCAATTTTTTGATTGCAGTTGCGTCAAAGGATGAAGTGTTTGCAGAGATGGTTGCAACTATGACCATGTCAAACAAATCTCCTTATCTTCATGGCACTGTCCGTCTACCTGTCAAGTTGCTCCAGGTATGATACAGTTTTAAACTATCATAAACATTAATCCCCTGTCTCGAATAGCATAGTCCTTTCTTAGGGCTATTTAGGAAAAGAGCTCTTTACTGATGAGAAAAAGCTAACAGCTATAGATATGCTCAAGGTTCAAAATGAAAATGAACTTTCTAATTGGGGTAAATAAAAAACTTGGGGTAATAAAAAACTTGCATCATCACTAAATCAAACCACTCCTCATCAGATTGTTGAAAAAAATTTTCGTGATATGTTTGATTTACTTAGAAAGACTCTTGCAGAACAGTTCACTTCAAACCACATTTAAGACTCAACAAAGATTCAACTCAGAGTAGTTGTTCACTGCAAAGATGTGTCTGATATATTCAACCATGTTTCAAAAGTCAAAAATATTCTTGAAGAACCATTGATCAAAATAGGAATAGATGACGGAGGTGGCTTATTGATAATTTCCTTAGGAGTTATTGAACCAAACAGAAAGGATTCTTCTCCTTTCTCAATGCGTGTTGCAAAAGACACATGTGTGAAGCGCCAGTTATTAATTGCTGTTTCTGAAAACCTTCTAGAGAGTTATGAAAACCTGAAGAGCGTTTTAAGTTTGCTCCAGTTGCAAAAAATTTCTTTTGTTGTTTCAGGTGACATGAAAATAGTGAATCTCATAACTAGACTTCAGTCTCATGCCAGTGTTCACCCATGTACATGATGTGGTGCAAATTCAAAAAATCTTCACCACTATGGAAACACAGAACATTCGGTTCCATTTAAGCTGACTTTGATGCATTTTACAGGAGTAGGTCAATTTTTAAAAGACCAAAAGAGTTCAACAATGCCGCTCACAATCTAATTATTTTCTTGGACAATCAAACACTCTTATTAGACTTTATCACTCCGATAGAGCTACTTATTCTTCTTGGAGTAGTATATCATCTCTACAAAAACTTGGCTTAATGCCAACTAATAGCTTGCTCTTCATATTTGAGAACAGCCTTATCATGGGGCCAATTTTCTGGATATGATTATCAAAAGTCTTTTGAAGGATGCAATTGTTCTACAAAATCTGGCTGAACAAAGCTCTTCATTGAATTTCATGCCTTTTTTATAACTTTTAGATGTTTTAAAAGGGTTTGTGAGTTCTTGCTTGGGAAATAATCTTTCTCCCAACTATGCAGACAAGATCAAGGAGATTCAGAGTTCCTTCTTGAGGTTGCCAAATATCTCCATCACTCCAAAGGTGCATTCAGTCTTTTTTCATGCAAAGTATTTTATTGACCGCCACAAGTCGAACCTTGGAGTATTTTCTGAACAGGCTACAGAATCTTTGCATCATAATTTCTAATGTACATTTGCAACAATACAAACATGATTTCAGTCATACAAAATATGGAAAGAAACTTCTTAATTGTGTTGTAGACCTTAACAGCATACATTTACTTTTGTTGAAAGGGTCTTTTTCAAACCAAAAATAGGAAAAATGTAATTTTAAAAAATTATTTTCGATATGATACTTTCACATTTTCTATTTGTTGGAAAATATTACAATCAAACGGATGAAGTTGCTATGGGTTCTCCTTTAGCGCCCATCTTAGCTAATATTTTTGTCGGATTTCATAAACAAACATGGATCAATAACTGCTCCTTTACAGCACCATTATTTTATAAACAGTATGTGGATGATATAATTGCTATTTTTAATTCTGAATATGAAGCTCAAGAATTTTTTAAACACCTCAATAAACAGCATAAAAATTTACTATTGAAAAAGTTCAAGATAACTAGATTGCCTTTTTAGATGTACTTATTAAAAAATCCAATTCAACTTCAAATTCAAATCCATTTTCGACTTCAGTTTATTACAAAAAAACGTTTACAGGTCTTTTACAATAATGTTTAAATTTTATTCCTTTTTGCTAAAATTTTAGACTTGTTCGTTGTTTGATTGATCATACATTTAAAATTAATAATATCTTGGTTGGTTTTGGTAAAGATATTAAGAATCTATCATTAGTTTTACAAAATAATAAACTTCCACAAATATTATTGACTCTGAAATTAAATTCTATATTTATAAGAAAATGAACTAACATTGTTAATAGCTTAAATATAAGATACTTTAAGTTTCCATACATTGGAATGTACTCTAATTATACTAAAATGAAAATTGCAAAAAAAGCTTCATAAATATTGCAAGGATGTTCTAATAAAATTAATTTTCACTACTAATAAAATACAAGATTGTTTTTGCTAAAAAGAGCCACTTCCTAAACTGCTTAAACCTCATGTTGTCTATAAATTTTCTTGCGCTGGCTGTAATGCCAGTTATATTGGAGAAACCTCCAGACCTTTGGCAACTAGAATAAATGAGCACCTTAAAAGTGATAAACAATCTCATATATTTAAACACTTAAATTTATCTAACAATTGCAAAAATCTAGCTAACTGTGATTCTTTTAAAATTTCGGAAATTTCAAAACTTCAAAATTTTGAAATGCCCCAACCAAACACAAATTAAAGATAAAAGAAACCCTCCACATTAAATGGGAAAGTCCCTCACTCAATAAACAAACTTCTCAATATGCTATAATCTTATCTATTTAATTTTACTGTCAGTTAATTATTATTATTTTTTGAAAGTTAGTTATTTTGATTGGTTATTTAACAAGTTATTTTGTAATAAATATATTGGTTCATTGTGTAAAAATTTCGCCATTTCTCTCTAAAGACTTCTATTTTTTAATATTTATTTCAAAGTTTTATTATTGTAAAATAATCTTTTGAAAATGTAAATAAATTTTACAAAACATATCAAGAATAAAAAAAATCGTGTTGTTTTTAAAAATAATTACTCAATTTATGCTATTATGACGATCACAATATATATATATATATATATATATATATATATATATATATATATATATATATATATATATATATATATATATATATATATATATATATATATATATATATATATATATATATATATATATATATATATATAAATTACAAATTAGTAGAAAATCACTTAGCAAAATTTTTTCTTTTTTAACACTGTGTTTCATCAATAAAGACTCATCAGAAATGAAACAATAATAAAGACTCATCAGAAATCATTTCTGATGAGTCTTTATTGATGAAACACAGTGTTAAATGAGAAAAAATTTTGCTAAGTGATTTTCTACTAATTTGTAATTGGTCTGTTCTTTTAAGAACATTGAGCACTATTTTTGTAGAATACATTTTAAATTGTTTAAATATATATATATATATATATATATATATATATATATATATATATATATATATATATATATATATATATATATATATATATATATATATATATATATATATATATATATATATATATATATATATATCATCATTTTACCGATGTCTGTTTGCGATGGCCGGCCGATCAATTTCCCGATGTTGTTTTAATGTCGGCCCAAGGTAATTGTGCTATCTGGGTTACTTTTACATGATAAAATAAATTACTTTTGATGTAATCTTCTTTTAGATAAATTAATTTTGAAAATAAATAAACTTACATTATAAGTAAAAGTTGTTTCAAAAAAATTAATTACTTATACCGAAATGTAAATTTACATAAAACGTTTAAAATTACTTATGTAATTTACTTTTGATAAAAATTAACTTATTTGTATAAGTAAAAAAAAAGTAAATAAAATAGCTTTTTCTAATTACGCGCGATCCCTAATTATGAGCCATCTCTAATTATACGCATACTCAACTAATTACACTGTGCAACAAAAAAAAATTCCGCTGATATCTTCGGTATATTTTAGTCAATTTGAGTTATATTATAAGTTTTTATAATAAAAAAGTCCTGCGACTATGTCTCGCTATTAACAAAGATAAAATTCCTGCTGTGTGGTGTGAAACAATTAGGAATGAGCATTAAATAAATTGCTCTTTATTATATATATATGATTATCTATTTAAAAAAAATGAAAACTTACCTGCAATAATTACAGGATCAACCATAACATCCATGGTTATAGGACATTTGAACTCATTAGGAGCATCGTAATCATTATTATCACAACCAATTAAGTTTAACTGGTTTATCATAACTTCATTTTGATGAGCAAGAGGTGCTAAATAGTTTTACATAGCATTGAATTAATATTAATTTTTTATTATTTAAACAAAAATTAAAATAGATTTCTTAGTTTTATAAACTTAGATATATATTTTTAATATATATATATATATAATGTAAAAATGTAATTCAATCTGGAAATAACAATTTATTAATGCAAACAAAGTTATCTATTCTTCTTTAATTATAATTATTTATTCTTATTATCTTATTCTTATTAAAATTTCATAGTTAACCAGTAGAAGAAATTGTTTCAAAGTAAATATATATATATATATATATATATATATATATATATATATATATATATATATATATATATATATATATATATATATATATATATATATATATATATATATATATATATATATATATATATATATATATATATATATAAAACTTCTACTGTATTAAAATTTTATAACATTTTAATAACAATACTTGTTTATTAAGTATGTTTAATATACTTAATAAACAAGTATTATTTACCCAAATGCATGTACTAAAATTCTTCATCTAAATGTAATTGTAAAGGTACTTTAAATGTAAAGGTTAAACAAAGTCAGTTAAATAATGAAATTTTTTTCTCGTACATGCATATGTACGAGAAGAAATTCTTTAAAAAATAAATGCTGAAAATAAACCAGTTTTCTTACTAGGTGATTATAATATTGATCTGATACAATCATATAATGACATTGCAACGTCTGATTTTTTAAACTTGCTTTCTTTATATAATATTCGCCATTTTATCACTTTGCCAACCAGTATTACTAACCATTCTGATCATGGCTTAATCTCTCTAAAACTAGTATCTCATTCTTTTTCATAATCAAAATCCTCTTAAGAACCTTAAGAACCACTTAAGTACCTTTTAAGACTACCTAAAAGTCATCACATTTCTTTGCAATGGCCCTTAGGTAAAAATTTTTCGTCTTTCTGCTGATAAATGTGCTTCTCACATAACTTTGTGGATTCTAGCTAGCATGGAATCTTTATTCCCCCTCGACAATTCCAAGTCAAGTCTCACTCTTCTCCTTGGTGTACCCTACATTGTGCTGCTGTAATTTCCAATCAAAACCATTACTTCCGTATCTATCAGCTAAACAATTCTCCAGAATACAGACACCTGTTTACTATTGCTAGAAATCATTTTATTAAAGTTATGTCTAACAACAAAGACTGCTATTCTCAGGTCATGAAATCTTGTATTTCATCTTATAAACTAGGCTCTCACGACTTCTAGAGTATTTTTAACAGTACAAATAATAAAGGCAAATCTGTTATTCCACCTCTGTTGTATGATTCAGATTTTGTCACCTCACCTAAAGACAAAGCTGAATTGTTTGCTAAGAACTTTTTATCAATATTATCTCTTAATTCCAGTAGTTGCGTTCTTCCTGATATTGCCGACAAACAGGTTGATCCATTGCTTGACACTTGTATCACTCCAGCATTTTATATCTAAAAATCATTTCCTACTTAGACTCTTCTACAGCTTGTGGTCCGAACAACATAGCTGTTAAAGTCTTGCATAAGTGTTCTCTGGAGCTGTCATCTATACTTTTAAAACTAATTAACAAGTGCTTATCAGAGTCTTGTTTTCCAGCATGCTGGAAAGCAGTATCTGTTATCCCTATTTTCAAAAAATCTAGTGAGCGATCTGACTCATCTAACTTCCGTCTGATTGGTCTTCATTCTATCATAAGAAAAGAATTTGAATCTTTAATTAACAAACACTTAATATTTCATCTTGAATCTAATAACTTACTTTCTGATCATCAGCATGGATTTTAAATATTATAATGGTCACTGCTCTAAAAAGCTAGTGTCTCTTGTCCTATCTATTAAAATTCATTCTCGTGTTAGAGAATGAGTTTTAGTAGATAGTTTAGACCTTCCTATATTTATGAACGGTAATGTACTTGATGAGTCACATACCCTTCATCTTTTAGGATTAACTCTTACTTCTGATCTTTCTTGGAAACCATATAACAAATCCGTCGCAAAATTAACATTTGCTAAAGTTGCATCTCTTTATCGAGCTCAACACTTTCTTACTCTGCATTCTATTCTCTACCTCTACCTTCATCTTGCTTTCCTGATTCGTATAATTTGCAATCTTCTAAGTCATCTGTCAATTGTTATCTTGCTCTACGATCTTCATCTTTTCTCTTCCAGTAACTTCCAACACTAATTAGTGGTTGCTTGCAGCCTTGTTGGAAGCAAAGATGTTTAAATTGAAAAAACAAATAAAAAATAATATACTGCTACAAACAAAACCCTCAGGCTATAAGATAGTCGATGTAGTAACACACAGCACTTGTTTTGCGGTAAAAAAAAAAAAAAAAACCTTTAGAATAATTTTAATTTAAAAAAAAAAAAATTTGAATGTTTTTAAAAAAAATCTACCCTTTTAAAGGGATCCTAAACTTCCAACATATGTTGTGTTCATATTAAAGATAATGTTAAAAAAAAAGATTTCAACCAATTTTTTTTTGATTAAAAATAAATAATGAATGCATACAGAAAAAAGTTGTTTTAGCCGAAGCTCGTCTTCTCCATTTTTTTCAATAACTCGGAGTCTTTAAATTTTTTTATTTTACAGAGATTAAATATGTCCGCATATTGACAAACTTAACAAATTTTAATTTAATAAAATATAATTACTTAAAATAGAATATATGATTTTTTTAAGTAAAACAAAATAGTGTAGTAAAGGATATATTTCGGTTAATGTAAGGTAATTATTAGCTTATTAAGTATCTAATATACTTTAAAAACTCGACAACAAAGCTACTTATTAAATATAAAAAATTTAAACATTTGTATTGCTTTTGCAAAATATTAAGTTTTGCAAAAAATTTAGTATATTAAAGGAAGTGGAGAAGATATTAACATTTAACTTCACATTACTCGCACTCATAGTAACGCTTCTTGATGTTGCTATTACAACTACCACATATCCACCATTGAAAAGTTTAACACTGAATCCAAGCAGGTCCAACAAAATTTTTCCAGTTGCATTTGCATATTTTGCAAATATTTTGTCGTTGTTCGTTGATGGGCGCATTATTTACAGATGACACAAATAAAAAATCTACAGAGTTTTTGGTTTCTTTTACTTCTCTGAAGTCAATTTTTTTTTTATGTTTTTTTTTATGTTATTTTTACCAGTTTCAACATTTTTTTTCTCATTTACTGTCTTTTCTGGAGTTTTAGTTAATATAGGACTTTTACCTTGTTGTCTTCTTTTTCAAGAATCTTTTCTGAAAGGTGTTTTAGGGTATGGATAATTGGTTTTCCGACTAACTATTTTGACTGACGATTCCGAAGAATCAGCCTTATTATGAAAGAAAGATATAGTAGATCAAAAAGCTCTTCAAACATTTTTTTTAATAATGAACTAAAATAGTATTTTACCTGAAACTTGAATGTGAGCAGAGCGCATGGCTAATGCCTTTGCAAGTGCACCGGTCATTCTATCAAGTTGATCATCATCTGCTACACTTGTATGATCTGATTGCGAAACCTACACACAAAAAAAACAGTTAATAAATTTTCCAATTATTTTAATTTTTTTGATTATTCTAAAATAATTGTAAAAAATATTAATTTAAATTAAAACATTATGATAAAAAAAACAAATAAACAAGTCTGAAAATAAAGATTCGCACAGTTTTAATTTTAGCAGACATTTGAGGAGGAGGTGGAGGACCTCTTGATACCCGTTGAGGAGGTGATGGTAGACCTGTTCTTGAGGAAGCTGGTGGTGGTGGTGGTGGTGTACTACAAGTTGGTGGTCCTATAACTTTTTTTTCTCTTTCTAAATATTGATGTATAATTGATGTTTGACAACGTAGAGATATGCCTCGTGATGGTGGTGGTGGAGGAGGAGTTACACCTAAATTTAGCCTTAGTTTATAAACTTTAAAGTAATACTTGAAAAAAAAAAATCCAAAAAAACAGGTTTTTAAATGTATTCAAAATATACACAAAAAAATTTTAAAAAGATAATAGTTCTTTAGTAAAGAACTATTATCTTTTTAAATTTTTTTTGTTATTGTTAAAGAATCTTTACAGCTTACTTTGACCTTAATTAGTAAACATGTAGTAAAATAAATTTTACTAAAAATAATTATAATAAGTTATATCTATAAATCCTTTTTCACTTTTTTCATAGATCATCCAGGTCATACTTTCAAAAATACGGAATATTATTTAGGTAATATATCCGGAAAAAATCTGCAATATATTTTCCCTTATATTCTTCCAAATTTTGCTTTTATTTGAGTTGTTTCTAATTTTTTTGAAAACTTTACTTAATTTTTGTATGAGTAATCAGTAACAAAAATATATACTTAAACTTGTATGTATGAAAAACATTTTGAATATCTGGAAAAACTAAAAATTGAGAAAAATATCTGGAATTCCAAAAATATTCGGAAAAAGATAATTCCTGCTTTATTATAAAAAATATATACAGATGAAATTTTGTTTAGAAATTTTTTTGGAAATGGCATAGATGCAAAAGATGAATATTAAATAATAGAACCTTTTCCAAATTTAAAAAAAAAAACTCCCCACCAGGGCAAATAAATATTTTTTTGAATAAAATGTTTTTTTGAATAAAAATTTTTTTGAAGCTTGATCTATCTGATTTTAGATTATGTAAATTTGCTTTACTGTTTATAATCTGAAAATAAGTCCCAGTTTGATGAACTGGTTTTTACCCATTCTATATAATGTAATATTCTTCATTATCAAAAGTATTTAAACATTTTATTATCTTCTCAAGTTTTTCACTTATCAACCTTTTTTATTTCCTATCCAGAATAAATGATTCTAATGTCCAAGAATACAATTGTAATTTAAATGTAAAACTTTAGTAAAAATGGATCTTGCTGACCACCTTGTCATTCAGGACAAGGTGGTCTCTTGCTGACCAGCTTGTCCTGAATGGGAAAATTGCGCTTTTTTGAAATCCGTCCACAATGCTGGGTCAGATTGACATAATAACAAACTGGACTAAAACAAAAAAGAAACGCTGCAGTTTAAATACACAATTAAAAATATTAATACGTCTAACAGTATTACTTATAACATTAATAACAATAATAAAAATAATAACAATAATTATAATCATAATAATAATAATAATAATAATAATAATAACAATAATAATAATAATAATAACAGGAATAGTAATAATGATAATAACAATAATTAATTATTTTTATTCCTTCCTCTAAATTAAACAGTATTCTTACATTTCCATATGACACATCTTCTGGCTGCGCTGCTGAATTGGATAACTCAGACACATTGTTCATCGAAGAATTATCTGTTACGTTCTGCATCTTTAGACCTCACAATCAATTAACAGATGGGTACCGTATGGTTCTTCTCTGGGCTTACGGGAACGGGATTTTGACGCGTAAGCGTTTTGGTTTTAGGACAGCCCAATATGGTAAAAAAATCAAGCAAATTTGCTTGATTGGGTTTTATAAGGTTTTAATCAGGGCCAAATGATCTGGGGATTCGACAGGTTATCCAAAAGATTTAACCTGCTAATAAAAAAATCATTACAAAACTTACTCGATGGGTGCCATTTACAATACGTATTGAGCTTAAGTAAATTTAACAATTTAACTTTTATGCATTATATTTTTTGTATACATTATATTTACATTGCAATTAAAAAGAAACTTTGTTTTCGGTTTATTTTTTCACTGTGTAACTATTCCATTGAGACATTGTTTGTTTCTGAAGTGATGGTAATAAGTCAATCAAAATAATGGTTTAGTTAATAACATCTTAAAAGAACAAACAGGCAAATGTTGTGATGAATAGGTTATACTTTTTACTGATCTACGCCATTACATTGATTTTTCTATGTTTTATGTATGATATTTGACTGATGTTAACAAAGTTTACCCAGATAAAAATATCAAGTGCTTACTTTAGGTTATACTTGCGTTAGTTTTAATAATAAAGTTTCTTTTTTACAAAGAATTTTTAAGTTACGTTCCTTTTTTAACTTTTTAAGTCATTTTTCATTTGAAATTTTTTAATAATTCTTTTAGTTTATTTGAAAGTGTAGCTGGTGTTAAATATTTATGTGTTTAGGTAGCTCATTGTTTTAACTGGATCTTGAAAGTTAAGATAAAAACATCGAGAGAGGGTCGCCACATCAGCCAACAAAAGTTCAGTCGAAGAACCGACCTCCTCAAATCGTTAACTTATTAACAACTAGGCTGCTTTGCTGGTACCTCCAAGATGCAGGATCATCGTTAAATTTCAAGAATGTCATGAAACTAGACCTGTGAGATGGAGAGCAACGAAGAAAGATAATTATTATAAAAAATTATTTTAATATACCATAGCATGGTTTTAATGTTGTAAGGGTTGTATAAATGTGTTTTGACGCTTATTTACAGTTCTGCTGTGTAGCGTTGAAAACAACTATGTATATTATGTTAAAAAAATGCACTATAACATTATCAACGCATTATTACATTATCAACATTATGAATATAGGATATGATATATATATATATATATATATATTTATATATATATGTATATCATGTCCTATATTCAAAATTGAGAACTTTGATGTTATAGTGCATTTTTTTAACAAAATATACATGGTTATTAATAATCATTTATACTTTTTTTCATACATCATTAATCGCGTTGTTTTATTTGACATATATATATGTGTGATATATTTATATACAAATATATATATATATATATATATATATATATATATATATATATATATATATATATATATATATATATATATATATATATATATATATAATATATATATATATATATATATATATATATATATATATATATATATAGATACAAAAACTTTTTTTATATTCATTTATATGACAAAAGGATTCTTCACAAAAAAAAATTACTCTGATAGGAGAATGGGAGCAAGAAAGCATAAAATCTTAGCCACCCATTGCCCAAAGTTTTTAGTTAAACACTAAAATATTTTACTATGAAATTTATAGATGAATATAGGTGAAATTGAAAAAAGTACACAAAATATATTATTAACTTGTTGCACTTGTGTTTAGGGCAAGGGGGGCAAAGATTTTAGGGTTTCTTGCTCCCATTCTCCTATCAGAATAATTTTTTTTTGTGAAGAAACTTTTTCTCATATATATGAGTATAAAAAAAGTTTGGAATATTCTTTTTGTTATAAAGTTGGTTATTTTAAACATTTCAAAACCTTCCAATGCTACTGTATGTATGTATGTATGTATGTATGTATATATATATATATATATATATATATATATATATATATATATATATATATATATATATATATATATATATATATATATATATATATATATATATATGTATATATATATATATATGTATGTATATATATATATATATATACATATATATATATATATATATATATATATATATATATATATATATATATATATATGTATATATATATATATATATATATATATATATATATATATATATATATATATATATATATATATATATATATATATATATATATATATTATCTAAATGTTCGACCATATTTCTCTAAATAGCAAATGATTCGGCAAGCAAACTTTTCCTAACTTTAAATAGTGCATAATTTTTGAACTTGAAATAAAAACTATAAACATTTAATATGTTTATTAAAAAAAAGTACTTATAAATTTTATTTGAAATCTTAGGAAAAAATGTTGAAATATCTTTTTTTTCAGTGGTGCCATGAGGGAAGGTGGGGCAAGAGGGATTGTTTACCCTCACCTCCCTCTCGAAGGAAGAACAAATATTATCATTCATTGATAATAAAGGAAAGTTTTAAAAAATAGGTGTGTCAATCAGGCTTGGTGTCCCAAGCAGCGCAAAGGTTCTTGGCGCCCCTGATTGTTTTAGTTTATTTAAATGTGTGTGGTGTAAAGAATATATAAGTGTTAAGGAGGTTTTTTGGAAAAAATGGAAATATATTTTTCAATGAGTAATACTTATACTTTTTTTACTAATATACTATTATTTTTAATGGATGGAATCTTTATTCCCCCTCGACAATTCCAGTCAAGTCTCACTCTTCTCCTTGGTTTACCCTACATTGTGCTGCTGTAATTTCCAATCAAAACCATTACTTCCGTATCTATCAATTCTCCAGAATACAGACACCTGTTTACTATTGCTAGAAATCATTTTATTAAAGTTATGTCTAACAACAAAGACTGCTATTCTCAGGTCATGAAATCTTGTATTTCATCTTATAAACTAGGCTCTCACGACTTCTAGAGTATTTTTAACAGTACAAATAATAAAGGCAAATCTGTTATTCCACCTCTGTTGTATGATTCAGATTTTGTCACCTCACCTAAAGACAAAGCTGAATTGTTTGCTAAGAACTTTTTATCAATATTATCTCTTAATTCCAGTAGTTGCGTTCTTCCTGATATTGCCGACAAACAGGTTGATCCATTGCTTGACACTTGTATCACTCCAGCATTTTATATCTAAAAATCATTTCCTACTTAGACTCTTCTACAGCTTGTGGTCCGAACAACATAGCTGTTAAAGTCTTGCATAAGTGTTCTCTGGAGCTGTCATCTATACTTTTAAAACTAATTAACAAGTGCTTATCAGAGTCTTGTTTTCCAGCATGCTGGAAAGCAGTATCTGTTATCCCTATTTTCAAAAAATCTAGTGAGCGATCTGACTCATCTAACTTCCGTCTGATTGGTCTTCATTCTATCATAAGAAAAGAATTTGAATCTTTAATTAACAAACACTTAATATTTCATCTTGAATCTAATAACTTACTTTCTGATCATCAGCATGGATTTTAAATATTATAATGGGCACTGCTCTAAAAAGCTAGTGTCTCTTGTCCTATCTATTAAAATTCATTCTCGTGTTAGAGAATGAGTTTTAGTAGATAGTTTAGACCTTCCTATATTTATGAACGGTAATGTACTTGATGAGTCACATACCCTTCATCTTTTAGGATTAACTCTTACTTCTGATCTTTCTTGGAAACCATATAACAAATCCGTTGCAAAATTAACATTTGCTAAAGTTGCATCTCTTTATCGAGCTCAACACTTTCTTACTCTGCATTCTATTCTCTACCTCTACCTTCATCTTGCTTTCCTGATTCGTATAATTTGCAATCTTCTAAGTCATCTGTCAATTGTTATCTTGCTCTACGATCTTCATCTTTTCTCTTCCAGTAACTTCCAACACTAATTAGTGGTTGCTTGCAGCCTTGTTGGAAGCAAAGATGTTTAAATTGAAAAAACAAATAAAAAATAATATACTGCTACAAACAAAACCCTCAGGCTATAAGATAGTCGATGTAGTAACACACAGCACTTGTTTTGCGGTAAAAAAAAAAAAAAAAACCTTTAGAATAATTTTAATTTAAAAAAAAAAAAATTTGAATGTTTTTAAAAAAAATCTACCCTTTTAAAGGGATCCTAAACTTCCAACATATGTTGTGTTCATATTAAAGATAATGTTAAAAAAAAAGATTTCAACCAATTTTTTTTTGATTAAAAATAAATAATGAATGCATACAGAAAAAAGTTGTTTTAGCCGAAGCTCGTCTTCTCCATTTTTTTCAATAACTCGGAGTCTTTAAATTTTTTTATTTTACAGAGATTAAATATGTCCGCATATTGACAAACTTAACAAATTTTAATTTAATAAAATATAATTACTTAAAATAGAATATATGATTTTTTTAAGTAAAACAAAATAGTGTAGTAAAGGATATATTTCGGTTAATGTAAGGTAATTATTAGCTTATTAAGTATCTAATATACTTTAAAAACTCGACAACAAAGCTACTTATTAAATATAAAAAATTTAAACATTTGTATTGCTTTTGCAAAATATTAAGTTTTGCAAAAAATTTAGTATATTAAAGGAAGTGGAGAAGATATTAACATTTAACTTCACATTACTCGCACTCATAGTAACGCTTCTTGATGTTGCTATTACAACTACCACATATCCACCATTGAAAAGTTTAACACTGAATCCAAGCAGGTCCAACAAAATTTTTCCAGTTGCATTTGCATATTTTGCAAATATTTTGTCGTTGTTCGTTGATGGGCGCATTATTTACAGATGACACAAATAAAAAATCTACAGAGTTTTTGGTTTCTTTTACTTCTCTGAAGTCAATTTTTTTTTTATGTTTTTTTTTATGTTATTTTTACCAGTTTCAACATTTTTTTTCTCATTTACTGTCTTTTCTGGAGTTTTAGTTAATATAGGACTTTTACCTTGTTGTCTTCTTTTTCAAGAATCTTTTCTGAAAGGTGTTTTAGGGTATGGATAATTGGTTTTCCGACTAACTATTTTGACTGACGATTCCGAAGAATCAGCCTTATTATGAAAGAAAGATATAGTAGATCAAAAAGCTCTTCAAACATTTTTTTTAATAATGAACTAAAATAGTATTTTACCTGAAACTTGAATGTGAGCAGAGCGCATGGCTAATGCCTTTGCAAGTGCACCGGTCATTCTATCAAGTTGATCATCATCTGCTACACTTGTATGATCTGATTGCGAAACCTACACACAAAAAAAACAGTTAATAAATTTTCCAATTATTTTAATTTTTTTGATTATTCTAAAATAATTGTAAAAAATATTAATTTAAATTAAAACATTATGATAAAAAAAACAAATAAACAAGTCTGAAAATAAAGATTCGCACAGTTTTAATTTTAGCAGACATTTGAGGAGGAGGTGGAGGACCTCTTGATACCCGTTGAGGAGGTGATGGTAGACCTGTTCTTGAGGAAGCTGGTGGTGGTGGTGGTGGTGTACTACAAGTTGGTGGTCCTATAACTTTTTTTTCTCTTTCTAAATATTGATGTATAATTGATGTTTGACAACGTAGAGATATGCCTCGTGATGGTGGTGGTGGAGGAGGAGTTACACCTAAATTTAGCCTTAGTTTATAAACTTTAAAGTAATACTTGAAAAAAAAAAATCCAAAAAAACAGGTTTTTAAATGTATTCAAAATATACACAAAAAAATTTTAAAAAGATAATAGTTCTTTAGTAAAGAACTATTATCTTTTTAAATTTTTTTTGTTATTGTTAAAGAATCTTTACAGCTTACTTTGACCTTAATTAGTAAACATGTAGTAAAATAAATTTTACTAAAAATAATTATAATAAGTTATATCTATAAATCCTTTTTCACTTTTTTCATAGATCATCCAGGTCATACTTTCAAAAATACGGAATATTATTTAGGTAATATATCCGGAAAAAATCTGCAATATATTTTCCCTTATATTCTTCCAAATTTTGCTTTTATTTGAGTTGTTTCTAATTTTTTTGAAAACTTTACTTAATTTTTGTATGAGTAATCAGTAACAAAAATATATACTTAAACTTGTATGTATGAAAAACATTTTGAATATCTGGAAAAACTAAAAATTGAGAAAAATATCTGGAATTCCAAAAATATTCGGAAAAAGATAATTCCTGCTTTATTATAAAAAATATATACAGATGAAATTTTGTTTAGAAATTTTTTTGGAAATGGCATAGATGCAAAAGATGAATATTAAATAATAGAACCTTTTCCAAATTTAAAAAAAAAAACTCCCCACCAGGGCAAATAAATATTTTTTTGAATAAAATGTTTTTTTGAATAAAAATTTTTTTGAAGCTTGATCTATCTGATTTTAGATTATGTAAATTTGCTTTACTGTTTATAATCTGAAAATAAGTCCCAGTTTGATGAACTGGTTTTTACCCATTCTATATAATGTAATATTCTTCATTATCAAAAGTATTTAAACATTTTATTATCTTCTCAAGTTTTTCACTTATCAACCTTTTTTATTTCCTATCCAGAATAAATGATTCTAATGTCCAAGAATACAATTGTAATTTAAATGTAAAACTTTAGTAAAAATGGATCTTGCTGACCACCTTGTCATTCAGGACAAGGTGGTCTCTTGCTGACCAGCTTGTCCTGAATGGGAAAATTGCGCTTTTTTGAAATCCGTCCACAATGCTGGGTCAGATTGACATAATAACAAACTGGACTAAAACAAAAAAGAAACGCTGCAGTTTAAATACACAATTAAAAATATTAATACGTCTAACAATATTACTTATAACATTAATAACAATAATAAAAATAATAACAATAATTATAATCATAATAATAATAATAATAATAATAATAATAACAATAATAATAATAATAATAACAGGAATAGTAATAATGATAATAACAATAATTAATTATTTTTATTCCTTCCTCTAAATTAAACAGTATTCTTACATTTCCATATGACACATCTTCTGGCTGCGCTGCTGAATTGGATAACTCAGACACATTGTTCATCGAAGAATTATCTGTTACGTTCTGCATCTTTAGACCTCACAATCAATTAACAGATGGGTACCGTATGGTTCTTCTCTGGGCTTACGGGAACGGGATTTTGACGCGTAAGCGTTTTGGTTTTAGGACAGCCCAATATGGTAAAAAAATCAAGCAAATTTGCTTGATTGGGTTTTATAAGGTTTTAATCAGGGCCAAATGATCTGGGGATTCGACAGGTTATCCAAAAGATTTAACCTGCTAATAAAAAAATCATTACAAAACTTACTCGATGGGTGCCATTTACAATACGTATTGAGCTTAAGTAAATTTAACAATTTAACTTTTATGCATTATATTTTTTGTATACATTATATTTACATTGCAATTAAAAAGAAACTTTGTTTTCGGTTTATTTTTTCACTGTGTAACTATTCCATTGAGACATTGTTTGTTTCTGAAGTGATGGTAATAAGTCAATCAAAATAATGGTTTAGTTAATAACATCTTAAAAGAACAAACAGGCAAATGTTGTGATGAATAGGTTATACTTTTTACTGATCTACGCCATTACATTGATTTTTCTATGTTTTATGTATGATATTTGACTGATGTTAACAAAGTTTACCCAGATAAAAATATCAAGTGCTTACTTTAGGTTATACTTGCGTTAGTTTTAATAATAAAGTTTCTTTTTTACAAAGAATTTTTAAGTTACGTTCCTTTTTTAACTTTTTAAGTCATTTTTCATTTGAAATTTTTTAATAATTCTTTTAGTTTATTTGAAAGTGTAGCTGGTGTTAAATATTTATGTGTTTAGGTAGCTCATTGTTTTAACTGGATCTTGAAAGTTAAGATAAAAACATCGAGAGAGGGTCGCCACATCAGCCCACAAAAGTTCAGTCGAAGAACCGACCTCCTCAAATCGTTAACTTATTAACAACTAGGCTGCTTTGCTGGTACCTCCAAGATGCAGGATCATCGTTAAATTTCAAGAATGTCATGAAACTAGACCTGTGAGATGGAGAGCAACGAAGAAAGATAATTATTATAAAAAATTATTTTAATATACCATAGCATGGTTTTAATGTTGTAAGGGTTGTATAAATGTGTTTTGACGCTTATTTACAGTTCTGCTGTGTAGCGTTGAAAACAACTATGTATATTATGTTAAAAAAATGCACTATAACATTATCAACGCATTATTACATTATCAACATTATGAATATAGGACATGATATATATATATATATATATTTATATATATATGTATATCATGTCCTGTATTCATAATTGAGAACTTTGATGTTATAGTGCATTTTTTTAACAAAATATACATGGTTGTTAATAATCATTTATACTTTTTTTCATACATCATTAATCGCGTTGTTTTATTTGACATATATATATGTGTGATATATTTATATTCAAATATATATATATATATATATATATATATATATATATATATATATATATATATATATATATATATATATATATATATATATATTTATATATATATAGAAACAGAAACATTTTTTATATTCATTTATATGACAAAAGGATTCTTCACAAAAAAAAATTACTCTGATAGGAGAATGGGAGCAAGAAAGCATAAAATCTTAGCCACCCATTGCCCAAAGTTTTTAGTTAAACACTAAAATATTTTACTATGAAATTTATAGATGAATATAGGTGAAATTGAAAAAAGTACACAAAATATATTATTAACTTGTTGCACTTGTGTTTAGGGCAAAGGGGGCAAAGATTTTAGGGTTTTTTGCTCCCATTCTCCTATCAGAGTAATTTTTTTTTGTGAAGAAACTTTTTGTCATATATATAAGTATAAAAAAAGTTTGGAATATTCTTTTTGTTATAAAGTTGGTTATTTTAAACATTTCAAAACCTTCCAATGCTACTGTATGTATGTATGTATGTATGTATGTATGTATGTATATATATATATATATATATGTATATATATATATATATATATATATATATATATATATATATATATATATATATATATATATATATATATATATATATATATATATATATATATATATATTATCTAAATGTTCGACCATATTTCTCTAAATAGCAAATGATTCGGCAACCAAACTTTTCCTAACTTTAAATAGTGCATAATTTTAGAACTTGAAATAAAAACTATAAACATTTAATATGTTTATTAAAAAAGAGTACTTATAAATTTTATTTGAAATCTTAGGAAAAAATGTTGAAATATCTTTTTTTTCAGTGGTGCCATGAGGGAAGGTGGGGCAAGAGGGATTGTTTACCCTCACCTCCCTTTCGAAGGAAGAACAAATATTATCATTCATTGATAATAAAGGAAAGTTTTGAAAAATAGGTGTGTCAATCAGGCTTGGTGTCCTAAGCAGCGCAAAGGTTCTTTGCGCCCCTGATTGTTTTAGTTTATTTAAGTGTGTGGTGTAAAGAATATATAAGTGTTAAGGAGGTTTTTTGGAAAAAATGGAAATATATTTTTCAATGAGTAATACTTATACTTTTTTTACTAATAAACTATTATTTTTAATGGATGG